GTGAGGCACACACCCACAAAAACACTGGCAAGACACCCTGCGAGTCACTGAGGCTATGTTAACTTTGTAAAGGGGTTTCCCTGGCTTGTCTTGAACAGACAAGTGCTTCCTTATGGCCCAGAATCTGTGCTTCAAAGAGGCTCCTCTCCACATCTTGTTAAGTGTCAGACATCTCCATCCACTGCGTGACAGATTTTCCCCATGGATACACCTCCAAGAAATGCAGTGGGAAACTGCATTAACTGTTGATACTTGTTCCCCACATTTTCAATTAGCAAATATAAAAACATAAAATGATTAAAGACATGTAAACTATGGTTAGACTATCGATTGTTTTGGCTTTTTGAAAGCTTCCATTTTAATGACTCATCTCTCCTTCCTTTTCACTAATATTCCAGGGTAAACTAATAATAATAAATTATCAAAGAAATACTGTAATATACAATAAAAATTGTTTTGAGCTGTGGATTAAAAGTAGCTCTCAGTAATCCAGGGAGAGTTTTGTAGTGGATTTGGTATAGAGCTGAAATACTCATCACCACCCATTTGTGGAAAATAACCTGCAGTGGACCCTGCCATAGCCTTCATCCATCAGTTCAGCTTACAGTGAACTAAGAGAGGCATTTGTGAGAAAAAGGCAAGCAGGAGGGGAAGAGGGGTGCTGCACAGTGAGTGCCACAACAGAGGACAGCAGCATTCCAACTGGGACCTACCCACTCCTCATTAGGCCAAGAACATGGAACAGTCATTAGATGGCAACAACTCCATATTACTTCCTGTCCTTCCTGCCTCTGACCCAGTGACCTAAAACAAGCCACATAAAATACATCCAGTTTTATCAGTTCAAAGCAAGCACAAACTCTGCTTCCTGTGCTAGCAAGCTTTTCAAGCGAATACAGAGCTATCAGAAACCTTTCCTGCACCTCTCCTGCTGTCCCACAGCAGAACATCACCTTGGGTGCACAGCACGGAGCAGACACCTTCTCTCAGAAGACATCGAGTGCAGTGAAGATACAGATCCTGATCAGATGTCTGCAGCTTGTCCTAAAGCCTTTAAAAGATTTACCCAATACAGGTAAATCCTCTGAAAAAGGTATTATATTAGATGTTGTTTAAATACTTCAGGAAATTTCTGCAGCACTGAAAACCAGCAGATATTAGAATCCAGCCATTTTGACTCTTCCTTCAGTATTTTTCAGTTTATATTTGTTCCATAAATTCTGAGTATGATTTTAACTTCAGAAGCTTCTCTGGCTTATATCCTTTTCTACAAATCCAAATAGAAGTCTAGGTTTTAACAGAGAAGTTCAATATAAAATTTAACTCTTTTGTACTTGACAGGTAAAAACAAACAAAAAGAAGAATTAAAATGCTATTTTACCTGCATTTCCTTCCTCTTTCCATAACTGATGACAAAGGACATAGCTACTACACATTTTCTCCACCACATAGGCTCTTCCTTCACATTAGACAATATTTGTTCTGCTTTAAGAGAAGTAGCAAGTGAAACCACTCATAACCCTGCCTTCCTGCCAGTGATATCATAGCCTAACGTAACCTATGCTGGGAAAGATGTCCTTCACTTAGGTTGATAGAGGACAAGGATGTGTAAAATAAGTTTATTTTATGTGCACGCAGTAATACAGACAAGGATATACACAGAGAAACGAAAAAGCTGCAAATACCATTAACAGAAATATGTATATTTTTTTTCAAAAGTTCACCAACTCTTTAAGGTGAATACTTGCTTTAAAACTCAAATTGAAGTCAAAGGGGCAGAGACTTACTGGACTACCACACAAAAAAAAACCAAATTCTGATATTAGCAATAGAGACAGTTGATGTGAGATGGTGATGACAGACTGCTTCAAGAGTGACAGTTGTTATCCAGCCACCAGCAGGCATT